CTCTCTCTCTCTCTCTCTCTAGTTTGCATTATCCCCCTTCACTCTTATTTTGCAAGAGCAATGTTACATAAACTTAAAAATTAAACTTGATAATTACAACAATTCATTTCGTATTGGTTCTTAACATTTATTGAGACTCACTACTTAATTCAATGGTTGTGATTATCAAGTCTAATTTTTCAGTTTAATTTTTAAATTCATGTAGCATTACTTACTTTGCAAAGTCCATTGAGGACAGACCCAAAAGCAGAAGTCATCAATTGAGGGGTTCAGTGGTCAGGGAGGTATCCTAAATGCTGTTCTTTGGTCATCAACCCTCTAAGGGACATCAAACACATTGCAGGCAGCTTTCAGATCATCCTTTTCAAGCATGAAAAAGTTTAAAGGATGAGTTTCATCGGATCCTCCTGGGTGTGTGCACATAATTTAATATGCTAATTCCTAAACTACACGGGTGTCAATTGGATATCATAACATGCACATCAAATTCTGGGCAATCTCACTTTGGCCGGACACTCCCACTTTTTGAAAAAGCCAGTACATTACTGTAGATCACCCCCATAATTGATGCAGCACGAGGGAAAATTGAGGAGAGGTGATTAATGATGTGGGACTGGGTGTGTGGTATTGTCCAAACACAGGCATGTGCTCTGAAATATCACTTCCAATGGCATTACCTCCTAGCATTGAACCATAACGTGGTGTGTTCCAAAAAGAAACAAGAGAACAAATTTCACCACAATGTGCAAATTAGGGAATTCACCGAATCCTGATGCCTTTAATTCCTGGGTCGTTTAACTGGAAACCTAACATTTGCACCAAGCGATGGCCACAGGAATCACCACAAGATATAAACTCCACCTATAACCAGATTCTCAAGAATAATTCAGCTTAACTGACCGGTATAGCAGACCATAGAATAGAATCCACAATGTCTTCAACATGCAACCAGTAGGAAGAGAGGATAATCTACAGGCTTACATTTAAAGAAATGGCCAATTCAAGAAAGAACATGCATCATTTTCGGCTGGATGCGAAAGAATTTCTATAATCCAAAATATTCTTTCCTGGATTGGAAGAGCTTATATTGAGCCAATAACTCAGGACAGCAAATCCAAGATTTATTAGCTAATCAAATACCTCTATTCCAGGCACTTAAGCCTCCATGTATATACAGCAATTAGACTTGGCAGGTGTCATCATCCTACAGAAACCATACTAAAATTTAGGTCTCCAGTATAACCAGCTGCAAGAACCTGCAGGCGCATTCAGGGCTACAGAAGCTATGGCCATGTGCAATCACGTTCTATCACAACCCAGTCTGCCGTTAAATTCTAATAGAGGATTACAGTGAAGTCCAATAATTTAGTAATACATGGCACGAAATTCCAAGAGAGAAGAGGTATAACACCAACCTAATACCAAATACACCAGTAGTTACCTAGTATATATAATATCCCTGGCCACCACAATAGGGCTAGCAGGCATAAGGACACCAAGAAGAGGATCATACTCATTGATCTTAAGGTAGGGGAGAAAACTGTAATACTCCAATTGTAGCAAGAAACCAGAGATCATTTGACAAAACAGGCAGCATGATGAGGCTATGCCATATAATTGACTTAAATAATAAAGCACATTTTCCATAGCATAACCGATTTGATAGAAGTTAAAATAAATCTCCTAATCTCAACAAAAAGTACAAAATTTTAATTTCCACAAGAAAGGAAAGAAAGAGGAAAGCTTACAGCCTTCTATTCCGAGAAGAGTTCCAAAGGTATACTTCTAAACCTTCCACAATGTAGCACTTGGCCTGCTGATCAAACAGCTAGTTTAAGTACCTACAATACAAATTTATAAGTAGATCAACAGATGCAGCATAAAATTCTCTTTGGAATGGGAGCGGAGTGGGTATATTTTTGGAATTCATAAACCTGCACTTTTTCCATAAAGCATGGATTATGCGTTCTATGGGTGATATGTATAAGATATAGCCAAATATGTCGAGGATTATGTGAAATATTTTTCAAATTTGGATATTCTGGGATACACCACAAATAAGCGAACAATACATTTAGGAATTAGGACACTCGGGGTTGCGCTGGGATACCCCAAGACTAGGTACATGATTTTTTATGTTTTTAAATGGTCCAATCAGGCAAATAAAATAAGTATTTCTATAAAACAAAAATATGAAGATTCTCATGCCAAAAAAATACAATTTTGATTTCCGAATGAATGATCTTTAAAACATTACTCAATAAACTCTCTTAGAATATATTATTACTCACATATTTCAATTGGTACATCTCAAGGTTATCAGTATCCTAATCTGGATCCTAGGATCGTAAGATCCTATAATCTGATATAAGCAAATCAATCTGAGTCTCTTGTAGAATAAAAAATTCGTAGGATTTTAATGAATCGTGATCTGAATCTTATAAGATCTTAGAATCCTAATCCAAACTGCAATTTTACTGATCCAAATTGTTGAATTTGTTTGTTAGACGCATTTAATCATTGAACAATCCAATCTATATTTTTTGTTTTCATAATCAAGGACTCAATCTAAACGCGAATGTCTTATATAATTGTGAGTTTATTGGGTAATATTAATAGATTAAAAAAGCTACAAAAGTTTGATTCATTTATAAAAAAGTCACTTAATTTGTTTGTCTTCCTTGTTAAAAAGTTAAACTCAATGATTAAATTTGATTTTCTCTCTTGATGAGTGAACATAGCCCGATAGTCTTCCATTTTTATTATTTTCTGTTTTTTTTGTTTGGATGTCGAATAGTCAATTCATTATCTAATAGTATTTCAACTTTCCAATCTCTATTATGTATCTCTTTCTTTGAAAATTAAGATCAAATATTTCAATTCTTCTATTCATCTTTGCAAAATTTCACAAGAATAGTAGTTCATTTTTTATTTTAAACCATCTTCAATGCTCAAATTATAGTTTATCAAATTTTAATCATATATTAAGTTCTATATTTGTCATAATATTTCTATTTATATAGATACTAGGCGTGTTTACTTCTTATTTTTGAGAATTTTGTATTGCTACATATGTGTTTTATCTCATTTTCTCACTTGATAGAATCAAACGATTTTCGATCCGATAGGATCTTAATTTTAAAAACTTTGGTACATCTAGGAAGTAAAAGCAAGAGACACACTTAAACATCTTAAATTGACTCTCTAACTTATTTGATGTTTTGGATAAATGGTTCATTGAAGTGGCCGAACAAAGAAATTTATACGTCTTACTATTTAGGTATGGAAAAAAGTCCAAAGACCCAGAAACAACTGAGAGTTTAAAAGTATCTAAAGCTAAGTAAACGACATGCAAACTGGCAAGTTCAAGTAAATGTTTGCAATTGTTAAAAGCAATAATTCTAAATATAAATTGCTCCTTCAAATTTAGGGGTATATTAACTTGGAAACTTGAGATGTCAGAAACCTATGATCAAGTGTAAGCAAGGAATAGTGACCAATGGACACACTCAAATGAAATTAGAACTTTAGGGGACAGAACAGGATTCAAGGATACATAAAAGTTGCCTTATGACTACACCCACAGTTAGGGTGAGCAAAGATTAATTGAAAGATCAAAGGGTCATGAGTAACCCGTAAAGAAACAAACAAAATCACATGAATGGATGAACCAATCTTATAGCATAATGATACAAGTATAATTACAGAGTGACAGCAAATACCATGGTTCCAATTTCGTACTAATTATCACATACGGAANAGAAACAAAATCACATGAATGGATGAACCAATCTTATAGCATAATGATACAAGTATAATTACACAGAGTGACAGCAAATACCATGGTTCCAATTTCGTACTAATTATCACATACGGAATACACATGCATAAAACAATTATACGTTGCACAGTAACCCTGACAAACGAAATGCAACAAAAAAACAGGTAACCAGACCACGGAAGACAATACATTAATCTAGCAAAACAGTAGGCGTGGGAAAATTAGCGATCTGAACAAGGTACGGCAGAAGAAGGTACCTTGTGACAACTCGCAACAAGCGCGCGCTTCGACAGCGATGTGCGACGTCAGGCGAGTCGCAGCCACCACGCTGTGCAGCGGAAGTAGCGATTGGGTGCACCCTATAACTCCTCCAATAGTTCTTCAAAGAGGAAAAACAGAAATTTTACGAATCACAAACTAATATTATAATCTGTAAAGCCGTATAAATGGGAGTGGTGGCGACACCTGGGAATGGTGGTGGAGAGTGGCGGTGGGTGGAGGTGAGGGCTGTGAAGTGGTGATGGGCGGAGGCGAGGGAGGGATGGGGAGGAACGGACGGTTGATGTTCTTGCCGTGGAGAGGAGGGACCTTGAGAGCGAACCGCTGCGCCAAGCCATCTCTTGCTCTCTCTCTGAACTGAATGCAAAATCAGGGTCTTAGTTTAGCAGTCTAGGGTTTATGCTTGCCGTACCGTAACGATGCCGTATATCCTCAATGGCCAAACGACATCGTATACTTATCTTTTAAATGTGGAATTATGGGCTATTCGATAACATCACTTAAGATTTAAAATTATATACTTTTACCACTTAATAAATTAAACTCGCTTGATAACTTAAAAATATATCATTTAATATTTTAAGTACTTCTTAAAAATATGTTAAAATTTTAAGTAGCAAGTCATCCATCACTACTATTATTATGTCACTGCTCTCATTATCACCATTACCATTGTGTCGCCTTCATCACCATCGCCGTCACTACTACCATAATGGTGATGGTAGGAATAAGGTATTTGTTGTGAGATAATTAAAAAGAAATATAAAGTTAGAATAATAATAATTTTTAAACTTTGACTCTTTATATTTGTCAAATAGTTTGATTCAATTTAATACTTAATTTTTAATAGATATCAAATAGTCTGCGAATTAAAAAAAATTCAGCATTTAATTTTCAACATTCAATTTTCAGTTTTATTCAAATACCATCTTAGGCATGGGCTAATTGTGAATATTCCATTTAACAAAAGTGTAATGTTCCTCAGTCTCAAACCCCTATATACATTTTTGTAAGGTGCAACTTGGGTTGGTTGGGTAGGGATGGGTGGGTTGAGGGGTTAATCCAAGCTCAACCCAAGATATGAAACCTTTAACTTGAGTCTAACCCAACCTTATAAGGAATGTAGAAAAGCAATTGTATTTCTTTTGTTGATTTATATTGTCGTGATACATTTATAAACATATACATAGTAATTGAGTTCAATTAGAACTCTATGTATCTCAAGCTTAGTAGACTAGATGATAAGAGTAGCTTCTGATGATAAGAAGTTGATGGCATTGGACTGTTGGAATGGTTCTAGATTAGGTGCAAATGCTTGTTTTGAAAGATCTGGTAGCAGTCTATTTGAGTTATTCTTTATCTCTAATATCCCCAACAAGCTAAGCATGTTTGGAAGAAGGTTAAGCTTATCTCGAAGATGGAGAAAACGTGGAATGGATAGTGGTTTGGTGAAGATATTAGCAATTTGGTCCTTAGTTGATAGGTAGCAAACTTGAATTGATTTAGCGGCTACTTTTGCTTGGACTTCTACGTGTTTTATTCGATTATGAAATATGAGATTTGTCGTGAGGTAGGTGGCTCCAATATTATCACACCAAAGAATAGGTCATAGTCATTGGGGAATATGAGTATCTCAATTAATAGTACAACGACCCGCCCCACTGTTAAGACATTGTCCATTTTGGGTGTCCATACAACCTTACAGTTTTATTCCTCTAGGGTTGTACCCCAGAAAAGGCCTCTAGATAGTTAAGGGTGAGCACATCAAATAAATAGCCCAGTCATTCCCCCTCCCGAGTTGATGTGGGATGCAATACATGAAGTTGCAGCATCTTTTCATCTTACAAGGCCTGTTGGTAGGCTACTATGCTCCACCCGCTTAGAGGCCATGTTTCCTTGTGAGGCCCATGTGGATTCCATCTCCCATCGGTTGTAGGAGAGTTGACTCTAATACCACCTGTAATGACCTACCCTAATTGTTAGGCTATTGTCCGTTTTGGATGCCTATACGCCCTCACGGTTTTGTTTTTCTAGAGCTTTGCCCCATAAAAGGCTTCTTGAAAGTTAAGGGTAAGCATACCACATAAATAGCTCAGTCATTGTCCCTCCTGAGTTGATGTGGGATACAACATATGAAGTTGCAACACCTCCTCATCTTGCAACACCTGTTGGCTAGCTACTTCGATAAAGAAGTGGGTCATCAAAAATATCATGCTACATTTTTCTTAAGAATACTCTGGTGGAATATGGGCTACAAATAGGCTTGGTACCATCCATATTGCAACATTTAAGAATATCAAGAATGTATTGACGCTGAGTGAGGAGTATACCAGTGGGGTTAGGAAGTAATTCAATTCCCAAAGAAAAAAAAAAGAAAAGTGACCCAAATCTTTGAGGGCAAAGTCTGTACCAAATAGATCAATAACAATCTGCACGAAGAAAGAAGAACTATCTATAATAATAAGGTCGTTGACCTAAACATGCACATAGGTGATGCGAGAGGGTTGATAGAAAATAAAGAGAAAATGGTATGTTTTGGATGCATGAAAGCCATAGTGAATGAGAAACAAACTTAGATGAGAAAACTAGGCCCTCAATGATTGTTTGAGACCATACAATGATTTATGTAGATGATAGACATGAGACGGGTATCGTTCATCCACAAAGTTAGGGGTGGATGCATATATACTTCTTCATTATGGGTGCCATGAAGAAATGCATTGGTGATATACAATTGTCAAATGGGCCAGCTACGACCAACAACAAAACATAGAACAATCCAAAGAGTAACTAGTTTGATGATCGAGCTAAACATTGCATTATAGTCGATACCCTCTTGTTAGTTGAACCCTTTGGCCATAAGTCACGCTTTGTATCGCTCCACTGTTCCATCAGAATGTTTGTTTATATGAAAGATCCATTTACAATCTACATTGTTGTCATTTGGTAGAGGAGGTTGAAGTGTCTAGGTGGTATTCTTATGGAGTGCATCAAATTCATTGGCCATAGCGGCACGCCAATGAGGAAATTTAGAGGAAGCAACCACAAGTGTGGGGGTGAATTCAGGAGAATCAGCCACTTAACATTGTGGTAGGGGGTATCAAGGGCAAGAATCAAGACTTTAGGACATTGAGTGCCATCTTGCAGGCGAGTTGCCATTGGATGAGTTTATAGTGGAACAGTAGGGGGCTAGACAGGATTTGCCGAAGAAGAAACCTTTGGAGTGGTGATTAAGTAGCTAAAGGTGCAACATATGGACATGGAAAATGATGTTTAGAGGCTAGAGCATTACCACTGAGAAACACTTGAAAAATGGGCAGTCGAACAAAACATGGCAATGGACTGCTAGAGGCAACTACATTTGCAAGTTGTAATAGCTGGATAGCAGGTGCAACTGCTATGGGCACAATGGGTAGAAACACTGAAGGCGACAGAAGTATTTCACAAGGATTGGAGAATGGTAGAGTCTGGAAAAGTTGAGCCTCCACATGGGAAAGATGTTTCGTAAAAAATAACATAACGCGAGATATAGAAACAGTGAGCCTTTATAAGAGTTATAGGGATGAAGATGCGGATAATAAGCACAAATTACATGACTCTTATTTGTAGCAAAAGAAGTTCCAAGCTGCTTCATCACTTGATAAATGGTTCAAAAATCAGGATGATCCAGATATTCATGCCAACAAACACGGGAGTCATGAAGAAGTGCGACCTTATTAATGGTAGTAGCTCCTTTATGTGCTCAGACCTCGCAGAAGAACTTTCACCGTCTGTAGATCCTTTACACAAACGTAAGAAGGATGAAATTCGAAGTAGCAATTATTATCTTTTGCGAATTTGTTAACAGATAATAAATTACGTTTAATAGTTGGAAGCAAGAGAATATATTTTAGTTTAAGAGAAGAAGAAGATGCTACAAGAGTAGAATTCCCAATGTTAGACGTAATACAATGCATGGTGTCAGAATCAAGATACCAATATTCATGCAGTGATGAATCAATAGAAGACAAGTAGTCATGAGCAAGAGGGTATGATGCACTCAATTGAATGTTTCATTGAAACGATTGTGACACTACAACACCATGTGACCAATTTTGTTACAAATTTGGCAAACTAAGCAAGGGGATCGAGAGACAAGAGAAGAGTTGGTGGGAGGAGGGGTGATGGTTACTTCCATGTCCCCAATTTTGGCCAAGATGACTAGAGTCATTAGTATGCCCATGAGGGGATTGTTGGCTATGGGAAAAAGGCTAGTCATGCGATAAATGTTTACCATGAGATTGTTGTTTGTGTTGGACAAGATTGGCCGATATATCAACGGAGGAATTATGGCCAATTTGAAATTCTTTGGTTAAAAGGTAACCCAATAGATCAAGTAGTGCAACTCCTTCGACCCTTGTGGTAATGGATGTGCAAAAAAGACCATATTCTACAGGAAGGCCACCGAGAATAAAAAGAATCAAGTCATCGTCTATGGTAGGTTTATCAGTAGCAAGATTTTGACCTAAGATTAAGACAAATTGTAACTCCATATGAAGTTCTTTGTGAGCTATATTGAGCTCTACAACCTGGGCAAGAACTTCTTCACCCAAGGAGTCTAGTAGCCACTCGAGGANACAAGAGTAGAATTCCCAATGTTAGACGTAATACAATGCATGGTGTCAGAATCAAGATACCAATATTCATGCAGTGATGAATCAATAGAAGACAAGTAGTCATGAGCAAGAGGGTATGATGCACTCAATTGAATGTTTCATTGAAACGATTGTGACACTACAACACCATGTGACCAATTTTGTTACAAATTTGGCAAACTAAGCAAGGGGATCGAGAGACAAGAGAAGAGTTGGTGGGAGGAGGGGTGATGGTTACTTCCATGTCCCCAATTTTGGCCAAGATGACTAGAGTCATTAGTATGCCCATGAGGGGATTGTTGGCTATGGGAAAAAGGCTAGTCATGCGATAAATGTTTACCATGAGATTGTTGTTTGTGTTGGACAAGATTGGCCGATATATCAACGGAGGAATTATGGCCAATTTGAAATTCTTTGGTTAAAAGGTAACCCAATAGATCAAGTAGTGCAACTCCTTCGACCCTTGTGGTAATGGATGTGCAAAAAAGACCATATTCTACAGGAAGGCCACCGAGAATAAAAAGAATCAAGTCATCGTCTATGGTAGGTTTATCAGTAGCAAGATTTTGACCTAAGATTAAGACAAATTGTAACTCCATATGAAGTTCTTTGTGAGCTATATTGAGCTCTACAACCTGGGCAAGAACTTCTTCACCCAAGGAGTCTAGTAGCCACTCGAGGAGAAGTTGGTATTAGTGATGGCA